ACGGGGGGGGGGAGGAAAATCTCAAACACTGGCTACCCACCTTTGCTATGTGAAGCAATAGCAGTCAACCCAATGCCATCATCATGAAAGGCACCTCTGCAGCCATGGAAGGGGTTAAAGCTTCAAGAAGAATGTTTTAAATATTGATAAAGATACTGTGGGGGAGGGGATATCTCATTTAATTAAGACAAAACTGGCTTACATGTTAAATATAATCAGAGCTGGACTTAAAGGTTCTATAGGCCAGCATTTAAAGGTGCATTCAAATATAGCCCACACCCTCAAATCAATTTTTCAAGGTTCAAGTGACACTGGAGGATCTGGGAGATGGACTGGGTTTAATAAAAACCTGGTCTAGCATTAACAAACCAACAGTGATTGAATTTGTTTCTTCCTGTAAAAGGATTTCAAGCCGCCCCACCACAACCTTTGCGTTTTACAAAACAGATTTTTGCATTCAAGATGAGCACAGAAATTAAAGCAGTCTGTGGGCTAAAATGCAGTGTACAAAGAGGTACCTTCAGTGCCTTTCAGTCTAAAGGAGGCAGGCTTTACTGGAGGCCTGGAAATAAATATAAGACCGTGGTTGGGTTTCTTTCATTTTTAACCATCAGGTTCAAATAAACCATTTGGGGCTTGTTGAACAAGCAAAAACCTTCTCACTGGGGAAAGAATATTGGAGTTAGAGAAGGGATTTTCCCTTTAAAAAGGCTTGTGAGTCTAGATTTAGAAAATTGTCTTAAGTGACCACCAAAGGTCCAGCAAAACTCAGTGGCCCAGTGGAGACAGTTAAAAGTCCAAACAAAATCATATTGGAAATCTTAAAGGAGCCACTTCATGGTACATCCAATGCACTGACCACTATCGCAGATCTGCCCACTGGACAGGTTTCACTGTGATTAGGAAAAGATTTCCTACTTTGATGCCACATATGCATTAAGATGTATTTTGTGATTAGTCTGATCAAGGAATGCAGGCAGTTTCTGAACATTTTCTCAGCGCTCAAACACCGCTGCAGGACTATGTGCGTAAACTAAATGCTCCTCTCTTGGAACAGGCCTACAGCGCACCTGGAAGAGCTCTCAACATCTCTGGCCCAGGCAAAGCTGGAGACTATCCTGATATAGTGAGATGGGGGAAAGCTGAGCGTTGTGCTTCAGTGACAGTATTAACACCACAATGTGGTGTAGCGCAGGGGCAGATCACCGTCAGGCAGGTCTGGGTATTGGCTTCAAAGTGTATTTTCTAGTTCATTATTGTCTAATGAGACACTATGCAGCCTCGCTTGTCAGTCCCCCCTCCCCCCCCTTTTAAAAAACAAAAACAGCATCGCCAACTTTCTAAACCTGCTGAACTTTTACTGGCGTTAGCAACAAGTAGTTTTTGCTTTAGAACTAGACGTAAAAATAATAAACCTTGAATCCTGCGCTGTGTGGAGCCCCAGCGACTACCACAGGGCTCTGTGTGGGTGCAGCCTATTGTAGAACAGGGGCCAACAGATTTAACCACCCACAAGGTCACATGAAAATTGCAGGCTTCAGAAGCAGCCAGGATCACAGGCTAGTGAAAGTTAAACCTATGGCAAACTGGTGCCCCTCTGTGGATCAGCCGGTCTCTATTGCAATGCTTCCAAGCTGCAGAGGGAAGGAAAGAGAATTCATCCAAAGTGTACATTAGTTCAAATCAATTTTGATTCCTTTTGAAGTCTTTGTTGATTTAGATAAGTGAATTCTCAGCATCAGTGATTACCACGGAGGCAGTTAATGCTGGGCCCGCATTCCACTTCAAACCCTACTTTGCAGGTATTTGTAACTTGGCTGAAAAAAATCCCTTCCAGACTAAAATTGGTCATTTCAGTGATTGCCAAAATGTCTTGTACACTCAAAGAAAGCTATAAAAAGTTCAAAGTAATTGAATACAAAGCACTCTGGAGTAAGACTAAAGGAGTAGCAAACGGATAAAATGTAATCTATAGTAAAGGATGGAGCAGCGGTTTTACTTCTGAATTTCCCTTGCTTTGGTTGATATTAGAATTGTAATGTTACTTTGGATTAATGTTATTTTCTGATGCATTATCCAGCAGGATAACTTTAATGTAAGCATGAACCAGGGAGTCTGAACTGCAGTAACTGCGTAAATTGCTAGCTCAAACAAGCTATGAAAGAATCCAATCTGATCTGCGTGGCTACAGTTTAGCAACGCACTTAAGTACATGCTTAATGTCAACGGGACTTCAGCACGTGTTGAAGTCCTTTGAGTAATCTGAGCCTTACGCACATGTTCTGTTTGATAAGCAAAGATGACCTAAGACATCCCAGTGCTCCCAGGACAGTTGTCTGCACATATACAAGTACAGAGTGGAGCAGTCTTAAGATAACAAAGGGATCCAGAACAAAATCTTAGGGGGGAAAAACTTAGAAGTCAAGCCTTAAGGATGCACATAGCCACTGATTCTTATGAACATCCTAACCATGCACGTACAACTCATTCTAAAATTGTAACTTCCGTTATTTAGTATTTTCAAATGTCAATGTTGTATGCACTATTGTGGCAGCTTGCAACTCAAGACTGTCAAGGGTTCCAAAGTCATCAATCCAAGCTGTTGGTTTGATCTAGTGCAGGACTTTACTCGATGGGACACTAAAGTGGGCTGTATAACTAATTTAATACTGGATGATCCTGGCATTTCAATGCCAAACTGTCCTTTCTCCCTTCTAACTCTCCCATTGTACAGGACAAGAATGGTACTATCAGGCCAAAGCGTTTAGGAAAAAAGGCATCAGTGTCATTTTGCTGATTAAACATTTACAGTAGTGGCTGCAGTATTGGTAGATGTAAAAAAATGCTATTTTCCTTATGCAGCCACATTCAACAGATAAGCATGGGTATTTATCAGTGCACACAGCCTCCTGCCTGCAGGTATTCAGTATGTTCTTCCAAGACCATTCTTATCAGCATCCCTATAGGGACTGCAATTATAGAGAGAGAGGAGGGTCCCTCTATACTCCTGAAAAATTCTAAAGAAGTTATTGGATCCTAGAAGTTTTCCCACCCACTCACCCCAAATTCTTGGTCTAGTTACCAGCAAAAAATAAGGCGCAGTGAAACTCCTGCTAGAACACAGCAACAATTCATCCCATTGGAATGGAGATTTCTCCCCGTTTGTAAACAGAATTTTCTCTCTTCTTTTTTTTTTTAAAATAGGACTTTCTGAACCAAGCCCAGAGCCAGGATCATAGACTGGAAACTGGAGGGCAGCGCTGAAATGGTGTTTGGATTTTATTGGTTTGTCGTTCCCTAGTTCACAGTTTAAATGCCTGCGTGACAGAGGAAGGGTTAAAAAAAGAAAGCCATGGAAAGGGGGTGGGGCAGGAAGGGAAGGGGTCAAACAGCTTTTGCCACATTATCTTTTTGCTCGCACAAAGTACAAGGCATTTGTTTTGGGATAGTACTTCACGTTCTGTTTCTTGTCCATTAGGCCACCGAATATGATCAGTTCCCCCCTGCCTTGCACTACGGTGTGTAGGCTGGTCTCTGGTGGCCCCACCACGGAACTGCTGTTAAACACTTTCCATTTGACTTGCCCTTTCTCCTTGGTGTCTTTAATGTCCAGCACATACATCTGCATGGGTTTGCAGTTCATGCTTTGATACAAAGGCTTGCCGACATTCAGAGACTGCGGTGGATGGTGGCCCAAGCGACGAGCGATCGGAGGTAAGGAGTGGCCGTCCCCTTGGGCAGAGCCTGGGCGTGGTGCTGGTGCCACCTCGGCACTGCTACCCGGGGATCCTGGTGAAGACACCAAAGGAGGACTTAATGCTGCTGAACCAGATGCACCTTTGGAAGACAGGGCCTTGACAGCCTCCAGGCTTCTTCGGAGTGCACCTGGCGACACCGCCCCTGGAAGGGAACTAGTGACATGAGGTGGGGTATGGATTCCATTTGTCTGCTCTGGGGGATTTCTCATGCTTCCACCAACTGTCCTATTGTCCACAGCATCCATTTGACAGCTAACAGAACCTGGTTTCTGATCCCAATTCAAATCGACAGACCCTAAGCGTAGATCTTTCTGATCCGGTAGCGATCCTCGTCTCGGCGCCGGGGAAAGTCCAACTTTCAGGTCAGATCCTTCAGCAGCAGAAGGCGCGCTGGGTGATACGGCCTGTACAGGACTGTCCAATGAGGCACCCCCCACTGCTGCGGCTCCAGGGGATAAACTCCCACCGTTCAGTACAGGTGACCCATCTCCTCTGGATGGGGACAGGCTCCCTTCCCGGGAGCCTGATGGGGTCTGTCTTTGTGCTCGGGGTCTCAGGGTGCCCCAGCGGCCATTCACACAAGGAGCTTCGTCGGCGTTCCTGACTGGAGACTGAGAGCGGTATTCCCGTGTTTCAGGAACCAGGGCTGGCGGCGTGGCACTGATAGGAGACGGGCGAGAGTTCAAGCTGGGGCTAAGTGGAGCTCTCCCGCTGGGAGCCTGGCTGAAGACCACCACACACTGTCCCACCTAAAAGATGAAAAACGAGCGCACTGTTAAACGGCTGCAGAGATGCTCCTCAACCCCTACGGCTGTGTGAGTGCGTTGGGGAAAAACGTATGCTGGAAACCAAACATGCAATGAACCGGCAGTCACGGGATATTCCACAGGAGAACATCCTAGCAGAGACCATATCATGTTAACGATCCAGGAGATCGGACTCAAATTCCTCTTTGGAATACCACCCGGCCCCATTTCCGACCCCCTTACCCTGCACGCGGGATGACACCATAGTTCAGGGGCTCCATGGTCTTCGTTTTCCACTCTCAATGGCTGCCAGGTCCAGGGGTTGGTGCGCATGTGCAGTAGCCAGGCATCCTTAAACAGCTGCAAAGAAAAGTGGGACAAATCCAGAAGCTTAGGCTTAATGCAGAGAGATCTCCCCCAGAAACCATCTTCCTACAGATGGCAAGGAATCCTGGCCTGGAAGTGAGAGCACAGGATGGGTATTCCGGGTTCTCTCCCTGACTACCACTATGGGATTTTAAGGGCAAGTCACCTCTCTGTGCCTTAAGTTTCTCATGCAATCAGGGATAATTCTGGCCTATCGCAGAGGGGATGTTTGTAAACTGCTCTGAGATCCTTGCCTGGGTGCTAGAGACCTGGAATGCATTTTATTATGAGTTATTTATCGGCAACTATAGCACGGGTGACAACTACGTGGAGTCTACAATTCAGTTGCCAAGCCCACCAGTCAAGATTGCTCTGCGGCACACCAAGAAGCCAACCTATGGAGCTGCTATTGTGATAATGTGCAACTACAACCACGGGGGGGGCTCCTGCGGCCGTATACAGAAGCTTGTATCATACGAGGAAGAGGCACATTCTGGGTTCGTATCTGCACACTTTATATACTTACTGCATTTGGGCCGCCACAACCACCAAGGATTAAAATGGTTTCATCATCTATTATGATCTAAACAGGCAAAGAAAAGTATTACAGATTTGGGAGAATACAACACTATTCTGAGCAAGACCATCACTGCTTTGGCATGAAGCGGTGTGGTTTTCGGGACCCTAAGCAAAACATCCCCATCTAGCTCCCATCACATCCTTCCTGCCCCGGCCTACTCGTAGAACCTCCTTACAGAGAGGAGAGGTCGCTCCAGCCCTCTCACCAGCCTGCCGGAAACTCTGCCCCCTTTGCGACTCCACCTAATATACGTGGACAATGAATCCAGGAGGTGGAGTCAAAATGCAGCTTGCCAAGTGGAGGGAACTAGTAGGGGAACTGAACTCTGTTCATTTGGCACTCAAACGCACACAGTCTGTATTTATATGGCCCCCATTACCGTGCTATCCAAGTGCTACGGTGAGGAGAACAGGCTCACTACCCTGCTGGTACCAAAGTCAGACAGGACAGGAGATGGGGACTCTGGGGCGGCACTCTGGCATGCATGCTGTAGGGCTCTATGCAGGGGGTCAAGATGGGCTCCAGAGAACTAATGATCTTACTGGGAACTGTCCATGTCAGTTGAAATCTGGTGAGTCTGGTAATCCATGGGATCCCCCACAGGGCAAACACAAATGGATCTTTATTTTGAGACAGACTGCAGTATTTTGCTCAAAATGTTAAAATGGGAAGGTTTGGTTTTTAGAAGTGTTAATCACAAGTCTTGGCGCATGCACAAAACACAGGGAGATATTTACAAACTGGCTCAACATCGAGAGGTTTTAAAAATGCATCCTCTCAAAGTGGAGAAATAGGTGGAAAGGGGGCAAAGGCCTGGCATGCCGAGACTGCAAAGATGGCTTAGAAAGGGGGAATTACTTTTTAGAAGCCCCTCGGGTGAAGGTGGGAAGCTGACCACAAAGTGAGCGATGGGATTTTGCTTCTCTAACTTATCCTTGACACTTCGTGCTGGTGGCTAGAGCTCCTTGTAGAGCTCACCGCAAGGTACTGCAATGTTTGCCGAATAACTGCAGGAGACAGTCACCTGAGATTGGCCGCCACGTGGGTGAGGGGTAGGCCCAGAGATGTTTGGCTTGGACCAAGCCCACTGCTCGAGATCCAGAACCCAGACGTCATTACTCCTGCAAGGACAAGACAACAAACATGGAACCAGAGGTACAGAGAGACAGTTCCCTGAGGATCACAAATAAGCATCAGTTAGGAAGACTGCAGCACTGTTCTCATTACAGACAGCAGTGCTGAAACCACGGGGCACATTAGGGGAGTTAAACTACTGATTCAGGATTGCATGCTCCTCCCACAAGCAGGGGATGTGTGCATTGGTGCTTCACACGGGTTACCACAGAGAAGGGAACCAATAATGGGCCAGCGGCCAATCAGGAGCGTGCATCAAGTACTGATTAAGCTTTGTTCCAAGATGGGGCAGCAACAGGGAGGTGGGGAGCAGCAGGCCCAAGGCTTCATAGACGCACCAGAATTTAGTATTTTCATCAATACCAGCTTTCCCACCCAGAGCCGGGCACCAGGAACCTGACTTCCCCTCCGTTATTCCAGTCCAGGGTTTCTTGAACGGAGCTTGCTGATTCAGCGCACCGCCAAGTGGATAAACAGCCCTTAGCTGAGACCGCTACATTCACTTTCATTTTAAGGGCCATTCTGAACTCGAATCCTCCCAGGTGGAAGTCTAGGGCTCCATGCGGGTGGACCACAGCGCACAGCCTCACTGACTTCACTGGAGGTCCATGTGGGCTCAGTGGTGCTTATCAACTTCACAACGTGGTATGAATCAGCCAAATGAACAAGCTCAGCTCAAGAGCGGAGCCAGGACTGGCACAGCAGAGAGGGAGGTTAGGACCATGGTGCACCGTCACAGCTCTGGGTGGAAAGCTTGCATCAATTCTGCCCACGCCGTACCTGACCCTACCCAAAGTTTGTTCCTCACTTTCATGTTCACAGGATTCCCAGTAACATCTCTGAGGGGAAAAAGTTACAGACTTACATTTGCCGAGATCCTAGGGAACCTCCGAAGACAATCATTTTGTCGTCTATTACACAGGAGGAATGGCCTGCCATGGGAGGGGGGCCGTGCGTTGTCACTATGCAGTTCCACCTAAGGAAACAGGTGAGGATACATTAAAATTTGTGAATTATGAGGTTACAAATTCCCCTCAGATTTCCCCTCCAGAGATGAAAAAGGCAGATGGGCAATTTTTTTTAGAAACCGTCTTACACCCTTAAATGGAAAAGGGCCTCCTGAGAAAGTGCACTGGCTCATGACTTTCTAGTGCTGCAATCTCTAGCTCCCGAGATCTAGACGCTGGTTATTGAAAAAGGGGGGCACTGTAGCATCTGTTACATACCCAATCCCACAGAGGCCACCAAAAGGGTGGAAAACGGATTTATAAAATGTAAATGAACATGAAATAAAACAAGGTGATGACGCTAACAACGAAGAGACAGAAAAAGGATAAATCGGAGATGGAGCATTTTGACTAAATGCCCTGGTTTCAAACCAGCACCGCGATTTGAATGGAGGGCAGACAAAGTTTAGTTTGGAACCAAAACAGGTCTGAAGTTAATAATAATAGTCCTGTTTTCAAACTAAAGAACAACCAAGACACGTCAGCTCATACTGGAGTGTAGTTGAGCTGGGGAAGTCAGTTGTCAGAGAACACGCTAGCGATGTGGAAAAGAAAATACATTTACTTTGCTGGCTCTAGATCTGTACCAAATAAATCCCTTTGGGGAGGAAACAGGTTTCTAGCTCCTTAGGTGGGCATAGCACTTTACAGGCAAACACAAAGGAAAGACCCTTTATGCAATCTGAAGAGCAGAGAGATCAGCAACTCAGAAGAATTAGCTCAAGTCTAAATAATATCACAAGAAACGGCAGGCTCTTAAAAGACATTTTATTACAGAGAAGAAAACCTCATGGAACAACTTCTACAAAGCCCAAATAGGACTACATTTAATATTTGAAAATGTTCGCCTGCTGTAAACTGTTTAACATGACACGGAAAGAGGATCTTAAATTGGTAGTACTGGTATTTTCAGTAACATCTGTCCTCATCTATTATCGTTAACTGTTTAACTACAGCACACTAAAGACACTGCCCACAACTGCAATAGAGAACTGGGCCTTTTGGTGATTAAATGCCCATATGAAACAGAGGTAAGATTCATCACTACTTTATTATGGCATTAGCTCACATATAACATATTTCCATTCAGAACTGATGTAAGTGAGCACTTATTCTGGGAAGGGGGTGGCTAGAAGGAGTTTTGCTACCATCTTGAATGTACTTTTCTGATGTTCCTAGATAATCTTAAAGGCTGACAGAGCAGACGGCAATTTAGAAATAGGAGGTCTGCCTACCTGGATTGACTATTGGAACAAGCTTCGCCACCATGGCTGGAGCCCCCATCATCTCCTGTGACCCCAGACCTCCTCCATCCTAATCCTGAGATATGTCCTGACCCGACGGGGCCAGAGTTTGGGACACAGAGGACACCTCCACCTCCACCAGCTAAATCCGAAATATCACCTGGGATGTGAGACGTCGTCTGTTCCTCCTCTTCCGTTCCACGTGTCCCATTTCTACCTCATCTTATTCCCCTTCAATTTTTTACTTTAAGTAAAATCCCTAGGTGTTAAATATTCTCTCTATTTGGCTTTATTTTATTTTTTTAAAACATAATAAAGAATCAAAATGAATGCCCAAATGACCTATCTGTCCCAACAATCTATTCCCCCTCTCAAACTGT